ACACGAATAATTAATGCCTCGACACGAATAATTAATGCCTCTACACGAATAATTAATGCCGCATGTGTCGCAGCACTCCTCCCTCGTTACCTGTACACGAATAATTAATGCCTTTAGACGAATAATTAATGCCTCTACATGAATAATTGATGCCTCTACACAAATAATTACTGTGTTTTCTTTAAGGGCAGGGTACAGACCGGCCGGGCGGTTTGGCACAATAATATTAAAACAGTCAGTTGCGTGTTTGCGTGTTCCAGATCAGAGGCAAGCAGTGAATATTTAGCGCAACATGCAGTGACGAATCATTCAAGGCAGAACGTCGTAATGTAAAAAAAGATTACGACTTCGCAACTCCGTCAGCCAATCAATGACGGCTTTTCAAGCTAATCCCACAAATCACAGACGAGAAATTGGTCGTTGAGTGTACTTAAGCGAGGTTTGATAGAACGACTGCATGACGGTAACTCTCTTCTCCAAGCCTTTAAGTACGAATATAATTGACGACGGGGTAAATAGTGTATCCGTGGGGTGAAGTATCTAGCATTGAGGGCCATTAATGTATCTGTTAAGGATTTAAATTTAAGCCCAGTTTCATTTCAGTATTTGCATAAATTATTCAAATATTTATCACGGCTCCAATTTAATTTAAATGTAACTCTAATGCAAGAAAAATTCTTTCAAATTTATATACACTGCACCTAACATTACTTCGACTCTACTTCGTACGCCGCGAAGATGCCCCTTCTCTACTTAGTCTTCCCTCCCGTCTTCTTATAACCTGCTGCAGGGGATCTAGACCGCTGGTCTTGACTCTTCAACGCGACAATGAGTGGACTCCAGACGGCAGTTATGATGGGTGGCGTGGCGACTATGGTGAAGTGTCCATGCATTTCCAAACGCTATGCAGTATCCATGGGAAAATACACTGCACTAGGGTGTAGTGTCCTTGCCAATATTTGTCTAAACTAAATATGATCACAGTCCCTATATTTCATTAAAATTTGTAGATTCTAATTTGGAGCTCGTGAGACTGATTTCTTGGGTACTATGACGGTATTTTATTTGTTATATTTTGTACTCGTTAACTATACTTGAATAAAGGCCATTCGTCCCTATTTACAGAAGCATTAAAATGTCTTTTCTGCTCAAATTTTCTCATTTCTTTAGGCACTGCTGTCTCTTGATGCTTCAACGTAGCGCTGATGGGAGCACCGACCCTATACTCCCCAACAGCGGCAAGGATCCCCACCGGCAGCTGCATCCAGGAGAAGTAAGTCTGGGCTGTCATGCCCGTCACAATTGTCGGTGCGACGGGTATCGCATATTGATACTCTTCTTCCTTCTAATGATAAGTTTTTCAATCACTACCGCAGTTTTTTCAAGAGGATCCGTAAGGTGGGAGGTAGAGCATTGATGGCTGTTAATGTACCCGTAAGGTGGAGGGTATAGCATTGATAGGGATAAATGTATACAGAAAGTAATATTATTTACTCACAAACAATGCCGGACCAGGCAGCAGCCGTGACAGGCGCAGCGTCAAGACCCAGGTTGTGTACAGGGCTCCAGGCGCGCTGCATCTCTGCAGGGGAGGAAGGCGCTGCTGCAGCCTCGTCGCCGAGGCGCTGCTGCTCCTGTAGGCGCCACACGCGCGCGCTGGCACACCGAGGACCTCCAGAGAACAGGAGCCCTCCTGTTGGGCTCCAGCACAGCAGCTCCACGGCGCCCTGTTAACGGTGCATTAGAAATAGGTATTATTGGGGCGATGTCAACAGAGATCTGTTACTAGAGAGGCTGACGAGAAGTAATATTATTTAAGAGGGTCAACACTCAACAGCACATCAGTTCTACATCACAATGTTAGTCGTGCAAGGAATGCAACATTAGTAACAGACGATGGCTCTATGTGCTGTACATAATAATTATAGCAATAATATGGCTCATTTGATAAATGTGGATGGTGAATGCGGATGGTGAATGGATGAAGTGAATATTATGTCTCACCTGGTGAATGTGGATGGTGAGTGCAGATGGTGAATGAAGTGAATAATATGGCTCACCTGGTGAATGTGGATGGTGAGTGCAGATGGTGAATGAAGTGAATATTATGGCTCACCTGGTGAATGTGGATGGTAAGTGCAGATGGTGAATGGATGAAGTGAATATTATGGCTCACCTGGTGAATGTGGATGGTAAGTGCAGATGGTGAATGGATGAAGTGAATATTATGGCTCACCTGGTGAATGTGGATGGTGAGTGCAGATGGTGAATGAAGTGAATAACATGTCTCACCTGGTGAATGTGTATGGTGAGTGCAGATGGTGAATGAAGCGAATAACATGTCTCACCTGGTGAATGTGGATGGTGAGTGCAGATGGTGAATGAACTGAATAATATGACTAATCTGGTGAATGTGGATGGTGAGTGCAGATGGTGAATGAAGCGAATAACATGTCTCACCTGGTGAATGTGGATGATGAGTGCAGATGGTGAATGAAGTGAATAATATGTCTCACCTGGTGAATGTGGATGGTGAGTGCAGATGGTGAATGGACAGAACATATCCTGACTGCGCCGTCTGAGTAACCAACCGCAGCGCTGCCTTCCACCTCCGCCCACGCCAGCCCGCTCACAGCCACTGCAATCACACTCATCGTATAGCATTATATTTTTACGCTCTTAATATCTTTAATTATACTTCTGAAGCATAAAATTAAAGTAATGAGTAATAACTAATTAACTTTTCAGTTTATAATTTTTTACCCCGAAGCATAAAATTACAGTAATAACTAATGAATTAAACTTTCAGTTTATAATTTTTTAAACAATAAACATATTCGTAAAGTTTCTCGAGGATGATGAAAATTAGTAGAAACTAAAGCCCAATAAGAGCGAGAAAAATTGAGCCTAGACTCTTTCTTTGCATGAAAAATTCGCCTTATGAAGTCGAGATTTGTGCACAAAAATTGCACTCTTTGATCTTGCACAAAAATTGCCTACGAAAAAATTGAAAATTGAATATAAAATAAAAAAGAAAATTGCCTAGAAAAAAATTGAAAATTGCCTTAAAAAATTGGAAACCGCCTAGAATAGAAGTGTCGACTGACCATCCTGCCTAGCAGCATGTACGAGGGTGGAAGTGACAGGCTGGAGGGCATGGTTCTCGAGCCCCAGGAGCGTCACGGAGCCGTTCACGCCCCCCACCAGGCACCAGTCAAGGAACCCGGAGTCTGGAGTCGCTATGCACGAGATGGGACTGCCTAGCTCCACGCTGCTGCCCTCGCCACCTTAACAAAAATACATACACTTTCAGGCATGATTATTCACTTTTATAGATATGTTAGTCAAATCGCTATAAGACTTTTAATAATTACGGTTACATATAAATGTATTCATTGCAATTGTGACAATGATTGGCAACATGTTTAGTTATCTGGAGCATAAAGATATATTCAATCATAATTATTCTTCAACGCCTTCAAATTATTAGTCAAGTTATTAGTCAAAATAACTATAAGACTTTTAATCATTAAGGTTCCACATAAATGTATTCATTGCAATTGTGACATTAATGATTAGCAACATGTTTAGTTCTCTGGAGCATCAAGGCATACAGTATATCACTTCTGTAGAACACAGTTGATGCAAGCGTTTCATTGACGTACCGGTATAGATTTCACGGATAAACTTAATAAATAATACTTATCACCGTATTTATTAAATAACTATGTCAATCTATATTTAGGAAGGAAATTCGAAAGGGTCTTAAGTGCATAGTGCAAATAACTGATTCTGATATGAACGTTTAATAGTTTAAAAACACTAGTAAATATCACACAAATGTCAGAGTTTCTCCCAAGATTGGTACAAATAAGTGATTCTGATTTGCAAGTTTACTAGTCGAAAAATACTAGTAAATATCCCGCAAATATCAGAGTTACACCCAAGATTATAAGGTAGTAAATATCACGCAAATGTCAGAGTTACACCCATGATTATAAGGTAGTAAATATCACGCAAATGTCAGAGTTACACCCAAGATTATAAGGTAGTAAATATCACGCAAATNGACTCAGACTGACCATGTAACGATGCGGTTCCTTGAGGGCATCCAGAGAGGCTGGCCAGTCTTGGAGGTGTGGGCCTCGAGCGCCGTGATGCGGAGGCGAGGCAAAGCGCCGCTGAAGTCACAGGCAAACTTGCCGCAATTGTCGCGTACACCCGCGCCTGTTCCAAGTAAGGTTAAGTTTAGCATAAAATGTTTTTTTTTCACCATAAAATGTTTTTTCACCATAAAATGTTGTTTTTTCGGCGTAAAATGTTGTTTTTTCGGCGTAAAATGTTGTTTTTTCGCCGTAAAATGTTTTTTTTTTTTCAAGCGTAAAATGTTGTTTCTTCTTCAGCGTAGGGACAGACGTGCGCCTTTTTGAAGGGTGGTTACGTTCAGCGTAAAATATATTTTTTTTTTCAGGGTAAAATGTGTTTTTTTTAGAGTAAAATGTTTTTTTTCAGCATAAAATGTTTTTTTTTTCATCAGCTTAAAATGTTTTTTTTCTCAGCGTAGGGACAGACATAGCAGCTAGAGCTAAGAAGAAATTCATATTATTATCGAACCATGTCGACTCGACACTGTTACACTTTATACCTGATATGACGACCCTGGTTTTATTCGCAATTGGGTAGAACATTTCAAAATAAGTTATAAGCCACATAAGTTTTTAATACTTAATAATTGTATTCAAACCAGCGTCAGAAGGATTTTTTATGAGTAATTATTCTCCAAAAAAAGATAGAAAATTATAAAAATGGTACCTCAATCTCGTAGTAATAAAATTAATTGTTACAAACTTCGAAGTAATTAAGCTTTCTTCAGTGTAAATTTTTAAGAATTCAGAAAAGAAAATTGAGGAAATACCCTAAGTTCGTGATAATAGCAGTAAATGGTTAATAGAAGTAATAATAGCAGTTTATGGCTATTAGACAGTGCAATTCCCAACAGTAGACCTCACCAGTTCGAGCAGCAGCAGGATCAGATGGA